TCTGAGAATAAAACTCTATCGAAATTATATTTTCATACAACCTACTTGTTACGATCTTGATCATCTGTCTACACACTTTTGGTGCTGAGGGTATATATATACAGTTCCTTGAATTGAAATAATGATGCGGACAGAAAAAACAAGAAGCCTTGTGGTGTGAACAGGGAAATAAGAAGCTCTGAAAAACTACGAAAGCTATTTTTCGGGACGTTATTTCATTTTATACACAGCTTGTAAAACACTAACATTTATTTTTGTCCCTAATTTATTCTACAGAACATGAGTTTTCGTTCGATGTATGGTTCATTGCCATAACCATTATCTGTTCCGAAGCTATTGTAATTTAAACATAATATTTTGCACCTTATTTTCTACGCTGATTCCCAGTTTTGGACATAATTGTATTTTTCCTAATTATTGTACGTTGTGCTCGGGTTAGTCACCTATATTTATTCATGTACTTTTTTACACTAATCCGAACTGAACTGAAATCAGGATGTCGAGAGTAGATCGGGTAGTGTTTCAGTTGTCTTGTCTTCTCTCATACGAGTGCTTGTCAGCCAGTCAGCTGATAGAATAATTTTCTTCTCTCTACCCCATTTCGAACTCACGCGTACTAGCCTCAATGTTAGGTCGGTCAGCCTATCGCATCAAGGTCTAAATCTGGATCAGATAAGTATCTCAGCATCAAAAGTTGGCAGACAAACCAAAGGACATAACACCTTGACAAATTCTTGAAGCTATTATTGAGAACATCATTTTATTTAATTCAAAACTTGTAAAATAGTAAGATTATAGGCTTTCGTTTGATGTATGATTCATTGCCATAGCCTTTTGTGTTCTAAAGTTATTGTAATTTAAATATAATCCTTTGTACTCTATTTTTCTACGCTAATCTCCAATTTTGGACATAATTGTATTTAATATCAGAAGGGGTTTTTGTGAATATTATAATAGTAATTTCAAAAGTCTAGAACATGAGTCAATTGAAGCTAGACTACCATGGAAAACCTGGAAGCATAGGATGGTCGTTTCGTCCTAGTATGGGACTCCTCAGCAGTGTGCATCCACGATCCCACTCGGTGGGATTTGAACAAAGTACGCATCAGTGTTAATATCTAACTTCAACCAATTCACGAAATTGAGCGACACATCCATCACTGTTTTTAGTAAGTTATTATCTCCCAATAGACCTGGTTGGTCACCAGTGGTTAAGCGCTCATGCGCGAGACTGATAGGTCCTGGGTTCGAATCTCGCGACGCGGGGACGTGGGTCCGCACTGCTAAGGAGTCCCACAATAGGGCGAGACGGTCACTCAGTGTTCCAGGTTTTCCATGATGGTCTACTTTCAATTGACTCGTGATTTCAACTATTGAAAATAATTATATTTCCCTAATTGTTTGTGCGTTGTGATCCGCCTAGTTATCTATTTATTCATGTCTTTTTATACTAGTCCGAAATCGGGAAACAGTCATTATTGGAAATAAACGTTGTGTCCCAGTTGACTTTCTCTCACTCGTGTGCTTTTCAGCCAATCAGGTGACAGAATAGTTTTCGTCTCTCTACCTCAAACAGTTGGTCTCACTTCGAACTCACGTATACAACTTCAAGGTTAAGCCAGTCAACATATCACTTCAAGGTTTTAATCTAGATTATATAAGTTATCCTCAGCACCAAAAGTGGCTAGACAGGTGCTCAAGGTCGTAACAAGTAGGTTGTATGAAAAAATAATTTTGATGGAGTTTTGTTCTCAGAGCCGGACGGTTTGGTCGTGGAGCATTCATCGTTCTTCTGAACGACATCGTCAGCACAAACTTAAGATAGAAATGAAGTATTCGAATTTCTCTACATATGGCTCACAGCCTCTCTCGTAGACCTCAATGTTCATTGTTTCTAGTTGAGCTTAAACCTGTTATTATTTACTTTGACGTCTACAGGGAAAGCTATGAGCCATATGTGGAGAAACTTGAATACTTCACTTCTATCTGAAGTTTGTGCTGATGACGCCGTTCAGAAGAACGATGAGAGCTCCACGACCAAACCATTCAGCTCAGAGAACAAAACTCCATGGAAATCATCCACCTGAGCTACAAATCTTCTCCACTATCTCGAAATTTGAATTTATTATAATTTGATTGTATATTAATTATTGTTATTACTGTACATTCTATGGCAAGCTTAAAACATGATAGACTTACTACTGTTCGGATAGCTAAGTAGTTATAATTAGACCTTATATCATAAAATTACTGAATATTTGATAGGATGAACTGGTCAAATGAAGAGCATGTTATTTAACGTGACTAATAGTTGGTTAGCCAATCGAATATCATTCGACATATACAAAAACAGAATAGACTTCGAAGAACGAAACTACCAAAACAATGATATTTCTTTGGTGTTGAACTATTATGGAGTTATTAAGATGTTTATAGACAATACTGAGTGCTAGTATATCGACATATCTCGTTGTGCAATTAGTTTAAAGCAAAAACCATTGTCGTTATACCAGTGTATCGAAGCATATTCGGACATTGGTTTTTAAAAAAATATTTTTCGACACACTGATTGTTGGGATATGTGTTACGTATGCCTAACTACTGCTTATGTCGATGTTGTCTGGTGTAGAAATCAAAACGTGAGACCAATCTTCGAAGTCATTACAATTGCGCTAAGATATTTAAGAAGGTGTAGACTACATTTTTGGAGGTCGCGTGATTATTGTAACGTATGGTTAGACTTTCAATGACATAGATCAGAAGCGTATGGAATACTGGAAACATATTCACTCCTTATTTCCCTCTAAAACCTAAGTTCTGAAATCTTCATAAATCGTATTCCTTGTTCTATATATAATCTTTCCTATTACTACTGATACAGTTACCACTTCCACTACTCTAAGATGCATGTGTTAAGTTCCACTCAGCGTATGATGATACAATTTAAAACACAGCATACTTTAGCAAACAATAATAAGTAGTTAAAGCCTTTTCAAATATAACGTAATTACTTTGAAGTATTTATCTTTCAAATTCTCACGAATTTACATTCAAATATCATCGCGACCCTAAAGATCATTGTTGAACAATCAATTGGATGGAACTCGTCATCATATATTAACTTTCTTGATTATGAAAAGGCATTTGACAATATCCCCTTCCTGTTAAATCATCAGTTTGCTTCAGTATTGATGTAAGTTTATTGAAATAAGAAAACTTGCATACAATTGAGTAAAAGTAGTTAATTAAGGTCAAAGGATGAAGTCACGCTTCCGACTATGTAGAGGTGTGAGAGCAATAAGATGTTTCCCTCAGATAACCAATATCTGAAGTAATGCTATGCACGATGATAGATCAGAAAAGACTGACTCTAAAAATAATATACTTCAAATTCCGTTGCTGGTCGTAAGCCATTTAGACTATGAAGTTAACACATCAATAACTACTCGCCGTGAGTGACTGATCTAAGATGATTGTCGTCTAAGTTCTGTAGTCACGCAACTAGATCACTAAGGTCACCCTTAATTCAGTTTCTTTTAAGGCACATCAACAAAAAGTATCCTTCCACAGTGAGGGAAACTAATATGAAGCGACAGATGCCAATATACACACCACTACCTTATTCAAAACTATCTGTAAATTGATCTATATCATTCAGTATATTTACTTATTTTAACACATAGATATTGGTACAAGGAGGTACCGAATAAATATGCGCCACACAAATCTCATTTGATATGCATGAGGGCTGTGATACTGCCCGGGTGCCCAAACCGAAGCAGGTGGTTTTCTTAGGGAGCCACACCAGGAGCTTTCGACCCACAGGTCTGATACCCAAGAAGGTAGAGCATCGTAAGGAGATGCAATCCCACAGTAGCCGGTGACCAACGATTGGTTCATACACCATTTGTTTTTTCAGGATACTGAAGCCCATGTGCACCACTGATTTGGAATGAGGGTTTTCCAACTCCTCTAGGTGGACTCTCCATATTCACCAACCCGGTTAAAGCGCCGGACATTCGCTTTCTGTCCTCTCATTTTCGTAAACAGCAGTAATGCCACGAGAAGTCAGTGAGTAGGACTTCCCTGGCAGAGGCTATATACGCGTGGCGATGTGAGAGCATTTCGAGAGGGATAGCGGACTCTCCCCACTCTCGTCCGTACCAGGGCATTCAGGGGCTATATATATCATATATATATACATTAATGATCATTATAGTAAACTATATATCATCATCACATAAAACTATCGTAAAATAACACGAACTGTAAGCAAGTAACAGCCCTATTACGTAGTGCTTACCTTTTTTCATGCGTAATAAAATCAACATATAAAACTTCATTATTGTTAATTCACCAATGTCATTGTTTAATCATAATAAAATAGAGCATATCATAAAATCGAATAAAAATAATAATAAGTCTGGACAGATAATTTAAACACGTTAGATACTGATTGATAGTACAACCAGAGACAGGAGAACACTATACACAACCCAACGTATATATATATTATCAGAATGGGTTATTTTGTGGAGAGTTTTTATAAATTTCACTGGTTGAAATCATGAGTCAATTAAAGCTAGACCATCATGGAAAACCTGGAAGCACTGGACGGCCGTTTCGTCCTATTTTCGGACTCTTCAGCAGTGCGCATCCATGATTCCGCCCCCCGCACTGCTGAGAAGTCCCATACTAGGACGAAACGGCCGTCCAGTGCTTTCAGGTTTTCAATGGTGGTCTATCTTCAATTGACTCATGATTTCAATCACTGATATATATATATATATATAATATTCAGAAAAAGAAGAAAAACGACGCAGTAAAAAGGAATCTTCAGTACTTCTTTTTATTTTACAAGTTCATATGTATTTGTGGATGGAATCACCTTTAAATTCTTGGTTTCAAAACTCATTTATGAAATTATTTAAAATAAATTATGTACATATATGCAGTTACACACTTGAATGTAATATAAGTTTCTTATCATGGATATCGGATTAATTCTTCAATAAATCTCTTAGTTGTAACAAAGTTCCCATGCATTCCCTGTAATAACAATAATAAAGATTATTATTAATATTATCGTTGTTATAATGAAGTAAATATTACAGAAGTTAGAACTGATTTTTCGCATTATTATTAATTATCGTGGACAGGTACTATCTAGTCTCATACTAGAACGAAACGACTGTTTAGTGCTTCCAGGTTTTTAATAGTTGTCTAACTAAGTTCCACTTGTGATTTTAACTGTGAAAATTATTGTATTGTTGTGTAATTACTAATTAACTAGATAACTATGTATCTATATTCCTTTCATCATGGATGTTAGTCAGTAACAACGTAGAACTTCGTACGTACGTACAACAGTTCGAGTTGCCATACCACATTAGCACAGAGATACAATCGTCCATTCAAATCCCGTAGTGGTAAAGGCAGTAAAATTATAAGCAATAATCGGAAAGATTAGGGTTTGAAGATGTTATTCAAGGAGTATAATCCAGTGAAATAGATTTGTAAAGAGGAAAACAGGGACATGAAGAATTCAGAAGATTAGAAATTGGGAGAACACAAAGAGTGTATGCAACTTGCGCACACCATTGCAAACCATTTTGAGCCATGTCATTCAGGATCTCCAACCATCGGTTGCTATTATCTCGCGGTCCCCAACCAGGTAGTCTACACCTACCAACATGACTCAGTCCACTTGTCAGCAACTTCATGGACTTGTGCTATGTTTCACTACTTTATCAATTGATTTGCCATCCTTACGTAGAACCCGTTTCCTAACAACTGCGTTACTTATTCGATGGTCCCAGGATATATGAGCAATATTTCGAAGACACCTATGATCAAATACAAGTAACGGACGAATATCCTCTACTCTTACCGGCCACATTTCACTGCCATAAAGTAGGACAGAACCAACTGGTGCGCAGTAAACCCGTCCTTTGGTTGACAGACGGATATCTCGCCTACGCCATAAATGACGCAAGTTGGCGAAAGCTAGTCGAGACTTCATCATGGATGTGCTAATCGCCAGAAACGACACAGAAAAACTAGAGACTCAATTATATGGGAAGCCGATCCATACAGATCAAATCTTTAATTACAGTAGCAACAACCCAAGAACTCCTAAAATCAACTGAGTGCAAACCCTATTCAAGAAGGCAAGAGCACGATGCAACACACTTGAAGTGCGGAAAAATAGCTAAAGACTATCTTTCAAAAGAACGGATAATTAACCAACTTCATTAGAAAATATCAACCCAACGCATCAGCAGAAACAAAACCAGGTACAGAAACCAATAAAATGATCATTCTACTATATATAAAAGATACATTAGAAATTACGAGATTATTAAAGCCTTTTGGAATAGGTGTAGAAAACAAACTTACAAAATCACTCCAATCATTCCTATGTAAACCAAATGACGAAATAAGAGAAGAAGAAAAACCGAATATCATTTACAAAATAAATTGTTCCAACTGCGGAAAATACTACATCAGATAAAGTGGACACCCCCACTTCACCTTCGCTTGCACGAACATTAATTAGTGGTCAAACGCCGTAACGTATACACGGTTATATCAGTGCACGTGGATAACTGTGAACACACATTCGACTGGGAAAATGTTGAGATCTTTGATAGAGGCAATTCTAAAAACACCAGAGAATTTTTAAAAGTTTGACACTTAGGTCAATCAGCACATTGAAATCAATTCAATCTATCAACCTGTTATGTTCCGATAAGCGCAATGAATGGTAACTTTTGTGATCCATTTATGGACCAGTACTATGCGTACATTTTTATAGTATAATTGTTAAATAACTAAACTATACATATTCATGTACCTCTCATTATGAAATTTATTTTGACCCATGACCTATTATTATACGATTTACCATCCATGAATTATGCCCTGTCTATTAATTACTACCTCCCACATCCACAGCCACATTTGGTTAATTCTTGTACAAATGTTGTTTCCTAACTTATGGTACGATGTGGTCTGTCTGGTTGGTATATAAACACAGTACGTTTGAAATAAATGATTCATATTACAGAGGCTGAGATTGGTTTTCTGAACTTAACTGGCTGGGCTAGGTAGGAAGCATGACCAATAAGGACTCTAGAATGCTCGTACGTGTTTACGGGTCCTTGGTCCGATCGATAATTCACTGCTCTCTGATTGGTGGTATTATTACAATATCCATTAATAGGGCACTCAGGTCACAAGATATAACACAATCAACCAGAAAAACCATAGACAAATATAGAACCAAGAATCAAATCAATGGAGGATACAATCAAGATAAAGAAGTAAACAATGACAAGTTAAAGGTCAACAATAACCAATCAAAATCAAGGTCTACCAGACAAGCTGTGAGTTATATGTGGAGAAATTTGAACACTTCATTTCTACCTAAAGCTGGTGTTGATGTTGTTCAGAAGAATGATGAAGACTGCCACGATCAAACCAGCCACCTCAGAGAACAAAACTCCACTGAAATTTCCATAATCTCAAAATTATACTACTAGATTGCGTAATGTGAATAACAGCAATAAAAGATTATGTGTATGCAAATAGAAAGTTTGTTTAAATTAATACTGGATTATAATGTGAAAGAAGTAAGATGATCAACACATTTTTGTTAAGAGAATTACAGGTAATAGAGAGGTTCAGTGAAATGAAGTCATATCAGAAACAGTTATGAATAAAATCATAAAGATATGAAATATAATTAAGGGGAGAGAAGGATATTTACAAATACGAACTATAATAATGTTTACGGTCATGGTAACCATAGATAGGGATAAGATGTACTTGTGTTGTACACACAGTTTTAGCTTTAACTCATGAATGTTAAAAGTTTCGGCAGTTGTTTTAAGGACTTGAGTACGAAGAAATCTAAACAGATTTAGACAAGTCGTATAAACAGTGTTAAAATCAACTTGTAGGTCAATGAAATGATTAGGAGTCGATTATATATTTAAGGATGGAACTTGTGACTGCTTTCTTCGAAACCTTGTAGAACTATACTAGGACATGTTTGTGTATTCGAGTTGTATATCCTAACAACACCTGTATAATACTCATTAAATTTTGTAATTTCGTTCTACAAATAAACCGTTTATCACGGTAAACTTACAACTCACTACTCATAATAATTAAGTAGATAAGTGTGTATAAAAAAGTAAATGACGTAAGCATGAGATTAATAGTATATATGATACGAATAAAACATTATTTAAAATTTTCATTTAGCATTATCATTACTAATTTAATAACTCCGCCTGGAGCCCTCCTCTTAGGCCATTGCCGGTCTCAAACCCGGATAAAGGAGGGGGGTTAGGCATGGGAGTTAGCAACCTCATCTCGTAGAAAACTAGCTCTCCAACAAGAAAAAACGGCGGCCTATGCTCCATTGAGAGTAAGTAAGTAAGTAAAGTAACAATTACTAATTTCATATAAATAATTTAAAAAAAACTCAGTGATTCCTTCACATACCGTTCAATGATTTGAATATCTACTTGACCAACAGTAATATCTGAATACATTCGAGTAGGTGGTATATTTTCTAATAATTGTGTTAAAAATCTTTTAATTTGATTAAGTGGATCTGAAACTCCAGTGAATGATACTTTTCTTGAAGATTCACCATCATCATTATCATCATCATCATGACCACGATCATCATCATCATCATCTTGTTTTATTGAAGGACTTGATAATTTCAACCATTCATGAGGTAATAAATCAACTATCATTTTTAATTTTTGTACAGCATCACGAAAAGCTAATGAACCTGATTGATCAATTGATGATAAACTAGTTGGAAATGATGAATTCATTATGAGATTAGATTTATCATCATTTGATTTAAGTGTAACAACTGATAATAAACAAGCTAATCCAACTAAAAGATAACGATTTATTAAACAAGTAAGAGTAATATGTTTTAATGTATCTATACTCAATAGATTTGACCATAGTAGAATATTTTTTAAGAGCTGGGGGCAAAAAATAAATAAATAGAATGAAATGTAACACTTTAATTCCAATGTGAAAATGTTACTTTAAAATGAATTATAATAAGGAGAATATAAATGAAAGTTCAATGGAAAATTCTTGTGGGCGGCCGCCTATGGCTCCTCTACGAGGGGGTAATACGTGTATGTACAAAAAAGTAAGTAAGTAAGTACACCGAATCTCACGTACAAAATGATCACCAATCTAAAATGTATGACTCTCTAAATATAATTTGTTTGATGAATTTACTATTAGGGGAAGTCAAACTAAAACATGGTATTCATTCATGTAATCATTGAATATTGAACTAAGCCATGTAGATGTAAATGTGAACTATCTTGTTGGGATTTGTGTGATAACTGCCAACAGAAGTCAAAGATATTTAAATGGCATAGATCAGAATCATTCTCAGTGATGTATATGCATTCATTGTTCATTTCTCCCCCCCCTTGATCTTGAATTTCGATACTCTGTCAGATATACCTTTCCATTGATATTTTAAATCAGATTTCTACCGTTCAGTCTCTCGTTTTTTTATCACTGCTAATATATTACTTTAGTGTTCTTTCACTATTTTTTACCTTGTCGTGCTAATAGGTTATGTCAGAATGAGCCAGCGCACATCTGTGTCAAGCTGGCTGTTTATCAGAACGTCAGATCGTTGTCAGTGTTATTTATTATTCTACGTAGAAGATAAAGAAACCAAATTTAGAAACAACTTTAAACTTGATCCAGTCAATAGGATGGTAATATGGTAAGGATAATTAATTTCAATATAATGTGTGCTACAACAATACAAACATCCAATGTCATATCGTTTAGACGTATAGTATTGATCAATATGGCCACACAAGTACGAATATTTTGCTCTAGCTGTTTCTCGTCAGTAAAATGTGTTTTTTACTATTTAAGAGAATTGGTGTACCCCTTTGTGAACGATGGAACCCACATCACTGTCAGTACTAACCTCTATTAGTTGAGCACGAATTTAAGCTTCGATGGTAAATGACTAACCTGGTTGTAGCCAACGTTTCCCACAATAAACTTTTGCACAGAGATTAGGTACCGAAACCTAACATCTGGATTATAGGAGTGCTCCATAGTAGTAAGAAACGGAAGCTCAGTTCTTTGCTTTCCAATGGCTACATAACTAAAGTTAGGTCTTGATGTAAACATCTAAATGAATCGGAACGTTGATATCATATCATAGTGATGATTAACTGTTTTAAAAGTTCCTGTACAATATTCTAACAGAAAATATTTTAATACAAAGCTATTGATTATGAAATTAGACAATAAAAATGAGCGTATCACCTTTAATCCCATGTTAAATTGACGTTCGAAGAATATGAAAGCTGGACCTTGACGATGTTGCATTAGACTGTAATAAAAGGCAACGCAAAGAAAAAACACACAGGTAACTTTGAGCAACATGAGATGTGACAATGAACTATGAAAGGCATTCTAAACAGCTGAGTGCAGTTACCCTTCACTGAATTATGGAGAGGTAGTCTAATGATTGGGAATTAAATTCCGTTCTACCAACGCAATTTCGGTCACCTGAATAGTATCAACAGCCGTTACACTTTAAGTGTAGCTTATACACAAGTATCTGATGAATGAGTTAATTAAAGATACCAAACACAAATCTGTGTAGATGAGAAGTTATTTTCATCGACTGATATGATGTGCATATACTTCATCTGCTCATAAAGACCCATGTATACAAGTTATTTGTCAAATAACATACCTCGAAGTAGATGGAATGGTGTTTGAATATGCATCTATTGAATGAAAGAAGAGTACTTTAAACAGTCAAACTATACAACTGTAAAGATTTTAAAAGTGATATTATTGGAAATAATTATTTCATTACTGATACAATTCATTTTCATACTAACAGTAATCATTTGTTATAAATGAAACTAGATACTTTAATCGAAAATATCATCAAAAAATATTGTCATTTATTTATGTTCAGAAGGGGTTTGTGGAGACTGTGGTGATCCCGCACCCCATGGGATTCAAACCTAGGACCTATCGTTATCGCGCCATGCGTTTAACCAACCAGATCACTGAGCTGGCATCCAACCAGGTCTGTTGTGAGATATCAGCTCACTGAAGACAGTGGTGTACGGTGAGGCAACGTCGTGGATTGGTTGAAGTTAAAGATTACCACAAAGGGATGCCGGCTCAGTGGTCTATAAGTCAAATGTTCACCCACGAAACTGATAGGTCCTGGGTTCGAGTCTCGCGGGGTGCGGGATCATGAATGCGCACTGATGAGGAGTCGCATACTAAAACGAAACGGCCGTCCAGTGCTTCCAAGTTTTCCATGGTAGTCTAGCTTCAATTGACTCGTGATTTCAATCTGTGAAATTTCTAAAAATCTCCATAAACCCCTTCTGAGCATAATTAAATGACAATCTTTTTCTGATACATTCTTCTATAATACACTTGTTATCATTGTGTTTCGTTTATTTACTTATTTGTTTACTGATATGTAGCAATTTGCATAATAAAAGAAAAAGAAATTCGTTTGTAATAATATCACGTCTTCAAATTATTTAACAAAACAACAACAACAAAAAGACAATAACTATTCGAAGAGGAATAAAAGGAGAGAGAGAGTAGGAGATTTCCAGTATGTTGATTTAATTAATACTTAATACTTGGATGATAGAAGAATTTCAACGATAATAGGCATAATTGTTATACTACTCACATTCCTATGATGCGCATAAGTAGTATGTAACACCAATCAGAAGTGGAACACCTGGAAGCAAAAGATTGGGAAGATCGAATCGAAGAGAATGGGAACAGAGAGTAATTGTAATAGCAACGAAGGAACGATGAAGATTAAGACAATTGATGGAGGATTTGTAAATGAAATATTTAATGTATGGTTTGCAAAATTCATGAAGGAACTCTGTAATTTTGTTGTCTCCACCTGAGTTTTTGTTCACTACACTACTACTACTACCATTACCGGATGATATCAACGCAAAAACCCGATAAATACTTTCGCTTATATGTATTGGTTTGTGAACGGTCTTCCCACTAATCTTTAAAATCGCAGTTCTTCAGTCTTTTAGGCATATGGAGATCCTGTGCGGATTTTTCCTATATTGTTATTATGTAACAAGCACTATAAGCAGGGATAGATGGTGGCTAGCCGTAGAATCCAGAACAGGTGTTTTATGCTGTTTGGGATTCGTCATCTAGATGTGCCTGCATTCTAGTGTTGATATTCACACTCTAAGATTTGAACTCAGTACCGTTCGCTCCAAATATCATCACGATATCAAGTTAACTCCCTAAACAAACGTTGTGGTGTGTGCTACTTATATTGACATAAGTAGTATATGATGTTAGTCGTGAACAGAAGGTCTGGCAACAGAGGGACAAGAGGATCGAATAGTAAAGAATGGAAATAGAATGCAATTTGTATGACAATACAAGAACAATCAAGTCCGAGCCATTTTAGGACAATTGGTGATCATTTTGCAAACTAAGCATTTACTATATGTTTGTTAGATTTTATTAACAAGTTCTGTAATTTTATGTTAATCACATTCGACTGTCTCCATTCGTTTTCTCGTTTGCTACATTTGGTGTCGCTGCCAACCAGGAGAGGAAGGGTGCTGCTATGCGGATGCCGTTGCGGTCCTGGAGCTGAGGTGCTAGTTGGGGCAGTCTGGTGCGGAGAGGTGGCGTCGAGCGGAGTGTTCTGACGGGGTGGCGTTGGCTGCAGCAGGTGCTGTCGACGGAGAGTGAGCGGTGCGACGTACGGCTGCTGGGCGAACATCGGATGTAGATGGCTCAGCAGGCCAGTGGAGCACGGGTGTTAAACGTCCCAGGTGCCGAGTGGATGTCGGATGTTTAACGAACATGAACAAAGAAGTCTGGGCCATTTTGGGACAATTGGTGGTCATTTTGCAAATTGGGCATTTACTATATGGTTGTTAGATTTTATTAAGAAGTTCTGTAATTTTGTGTCGAATACATTCGATTGTCCCCACTGGTGTTCGTGTTCACTACAACGTCATTAATAATAATAATAACAACAGTAATAATAATAATAATGCTTACGTTTTTGAATAGAGTGGTATGAAAATATCTTCTTGTATTGTATTTTCAATACGTTTAACAATGGAAGTGAATAATTTTTCTGTTGGACGACTACCAATACAAATCGTTGGATAAGTTGAGCATAAATTATGCATTAAATTGACAAGTTGTAAAGATTGTTTCTCTGATAAAGGATCCCATGAAGCGCAGACTAGTTCTATAGAAAGAAAAACGATTGACAAAAAGCATTGTACCAGAATCAATACATTTAATTATGCACTGTTAATGCTCGAGATATATATATGTATATTCCCAAGCAAAAATAGTTTGACTTTGGAGGAGTTATTCCGGTGAAACTAATAGGCAGTGGAAATATTCTTAAATCTAGGAATTAGCACTGAATTTTAATGCTAACGAAAGCAACTAATTGTCTTCAACAACATTGTAGTATTATTATTGGGTAAAGCTGTTTTGATAGGCTAAATATAATTTGATGACTGTAATATACACTATCGGATGACTGAAGTAGCAGTAAAATTTCTAAGAGAGTATATTATGGATCGTTGTGAACACTTGTTAATTACTCATATGGATAACATGTAGGTGACGCTTTTAACCAAACCGTCATGTGGAATAAAATTTTGAAAAAAATAAGCTTGATCACATAGTTTTGTGTGGATCAAAATGGTTTGAATCGATTACTCACTGACTATTACATCATAATCGTGATCAATATTTGGAGACTTTAGTTGACATGATCCAGAATATATAGCAGTGACGTAGATTCATTCTTCAGCGAAATCTCCTAGATCTAATATAACTCTATAGTTTTTACTTCTCTAATTAATTTCTTCTTTTCGAACCATATTATTAATGTCTAGTCATTTGTTTACTATCAGTGATAAAAATCTGCTATGCATCTTACCAGTCTCCTCGATCGATGTATATCTGTACAGGATTCTAGATTGGTGATAACTGATGAGCAAAAATTCAAGAAGAGGAAACTTGTAACTTTGAAGGGTGTTCAAAACAAGCAATATGAAGACTAGAAAGATCATAAAAATTTAACAATCAGGGTACTTAGCAAGCGATAAAGATCTTGACAAATAGATTCAATTGTTCAGTAAATGATGAAAATGAAAAACCATCATAAGATCAAGAATCCGATCAGAGACGAAGCAAACCAAAATAAATGCGCAAACAATAACGACAGGTAAACGCCAATAATCAATTAGTCATATTTGAAATCAACGGAAGTAACTGTTAGTCATTTCTCGAAAGGCATTAGTAGCTTGCCATTTCCTAAGCTAGTATTGATAATACTGTCTAAAAAGACAACAAAATCTACATGAAATCAATTTATTGAAAATGATCAAGTTGATGATGAACTGTTGGTATCTGAAGGACAATTTATTTTGAATAGTTTATTTTCTGAAATTCATTTGCCATTTCATTAATTAATTAATTTATTTATTTATTTGAACGCATAAATATTGGTACAAGAGTGAGCCAAATATATATGCGCCACACATATTTGATTGAGCTGCCTTCTCGTGGCGGTGTTGTTTATGAAATTCAGAGGACGAAAATCGAGTGTCCGGCGCTTTAACCGGGTTGGTGAATACGGACAGTCCATCTAGGGGAGTTGGAAAACCCTGATTCCAAACCAATGGTGCACATGGGCTCCAGTATCCTGAAGGAACAAATGGCATATGAACCAATCGTTGGTCACCGGTTACCATGGGACTGGATCTCCTTACGATGCTCCACTGCCTTGTGGGTTAGACCTTCAGATCAAAGGCTCGGGGAGTGGCCCCCTAAGATAACCACCTGCGTCGGTCTGGGTACCTGGGCAGTATCACAGCCCATACACAAATGATGAACTGTCTATAACTGTCTACATTTGATTAAACCGAAATGAAACAGTATTCGGATCTGTAATCGAATTGGCTGGTAATCCGAACGCTTTAGCCACTCAGCCCGTTGCTTTACATTCGATTAGAATTATAAAAAAACATATATAATAAGTAAAATAACAATTTACCATTTATTCGTTGTAAAACAATCTTTTCAATTGACTTTGGTATTATACGAAGATCATCATCAAGATTACCAGCAGTTTTATCCAAGTTATTATTATTGCTGGGATTTTTATTTTCATTATTATTATTGCTTTTATCAGTTTTATTACTATTTGAAATAGTTGACTTTGTATTTTTATTATTGTCAACTGATGGAAGGTTACAAAAGTCTAACAAATCTTGAAACCATTTCATTTCTTCAATCGGATCAGCATGATTCTGAGATTATGAAGAAAGAAAAAGAACAGTTTACATGCATTAAGGCAATAATGACATTGAAAATTTCAACAAACAGATGGATTGTAGCTAGCATTGGAATTCAAGAGGCGTGTTTCGTCCTATGTGAAACTTGTCAGATGGATATACCTACATTTCAGTGTTGATGTAAATACTGGGACTCGGATTTATTGTACTTTTTGTTCAGAATACCCAATGAGTTATTACGCCAAGATGCTAAGTCCCAGTAACTACTAACTTGTTCAACTAGTAAGATGGATATATTATTCAAGAATATTACCAATGGGATAATTTAAAATATTCTTACTTACTTACGCCTGTTGCCCCTCGTGAAGGAGCATAGGCCACCTACCCAGCATTCTCCATCCAACTCTGTCCTGAGTAATCCTTTTGAGTTGTTTTCAGTTGCTATTTATCCTTTACATGTCTGCTTCCAATTCCCGACTTAGTGTGTTTTTTGGCCTTCCTCTTTTTCGTTCCTCTTCAGCATTCCAAGTCAGAGCTTGCATCGTGGAGCAGTTTGATGAATTCCGTAATATACATCTTATCCACTTCCAACGTCTTTTCCTAATTTCCTCTTCAGTTGTAAGCTTATTGCTGGTATCCGGCCAACGGATATTGAGTATCTTGCGTAGACAATTGTTTACAAATGCTTGTACTTTTTGATGTAACACTATTAGGCTTATATTAATGATGTAAGCCAATTAGCTTTCGCCAATAGATAGTATGTTTAAAATTGAAGTTGTTTACTTTAATGTAGAGTAATAAAGTAGTAGTGTAGTGAACGAAAACTCAAGTAAGGAAAACCAATTTATTGTTTAATGCAAAATTACACAGTGGCTTAGTAAAATATGAAAATCATACATTAAATACATCATTTGCACAGCTTTGTGTTGTCTTTTAGATGCTCCGTTATTCATCCAATTCTGTTGTTATTTTTATTGCTCCCAAATTTCCTTCCTGTTCTCTTCATTTCAATCCTCTGCTAGTAGACATTCCATTTCTGAGTACTGCTACGTAATACTTATTTCTGTCAGTATAAGTAGCATACATCATAGTAGAAGTATCATTCACTTTTATAAAAATATTGTAAGTGACGACTTACATTATGAACGATACAGAACAACAGTAAGTGTATGATTTTACTCAGCTATTACGCATATTAATAATGCAATGTACGATCAGGGAATTGTTCAAATCACACTACATATATTTATTATTAGCTTCAAAAGAGAAACTGATATACGATGAACTTCATTTACACATATAAGACAGAATCTATTTTAAGGCTATAGATATTTACATAATCATTTGGAAGCATTCTAAAATTAGTAACGAAATCGATAAATATCAAATCAGGGTAAAACGCAAAATCCGTGGTTCTTCTAGGATTCTGATGGAGTTTTGTACATTGAGCTGGATGGTTTGGTCGTGGAGATTTCATTATTATTTCGAACGACATTATCAGCACAAATTTCTACCTGAAGAACAAAACTCCATCAAAATCATCTACCTGAGCTATAAATTGGAGTCTTAAACCTCAATAGGAAGATACAAACCAAACGATATCAAGTGAATTTAATTTCACCCCATTACACAAGCAGGTGGCTATCAGGACTCAGTAGCTGAGTGGATAACGCGATGGCGTTTGAAGTGAATGGTACTGAGTTCGAGTCCCAGAGTGAACATCAACTCAGCTGCAGGTACATCCGGCTGACGAGTCCCAGATAGGACGAAACGCGCGCCCTGGATTCCACTGCTAGCCACCATCCATCATTGCTTACTGAGCTATAAATGTTCTAAAAATTTATGAAATGTTTCTATTGAACGTCAATCCAATAAAGCATTTTAGATCTTTTCCCCGTTTTTAAAGACTCCCATCCCCAGTAACTCTAAACGGCCCCCAACAAATAACCTATATATGTGAGTGATTTGGGAAGAGGTTTAAACACTCAAAACATTTTTAGGGTTAGAAGACAAATAAAAGGAAGAAAAGTAACTTACACTTAAAGGATTCCAACCGATTAATTGAATTCGTATTATAGGACTAAATAATTGTGGTAAACACAATGATACATAAGCTTGTTGATATGATTCAGGATATTTATTACGCCATTCTATAAATCTTTCAAGGATTAATGGTAATTTACAAAATTCTTCAACAACATCTTCGAATAAAGCATTTGCATCTACTAGTAAAGCGTCTGACAACGACAGGGTGGAATTATTTTGAACACACACACACAAAAAAAAAATTAGGATTATTTAAATAATAATCTTGTTAGGATAATTAACAAGTACAATATATAGATATAGTGAAGTACTTTCAATTAATTTTCAACGGACAGTACACAACCTTTTATAAATAGGGTTGAATAGTAACTAGTACTGGAATCCATGACAAGTGTTTCATCTAACAAACTACTGAGTTCAAAAAGCCAAATTGATTTATGCATTAGTATGAATTATTGAGAAGGAACAAAGTTGCGCTACATACTTTATATTAGAAATATTTTGATCAAAATTACGTTTGATATGTCAATGTAGAATGATGAAGTACCATACACATGAAAGAATGGGAAAATGTTTTAAACAATTTATTTATAGCAAAGATGGATATAGTGGTTAGCAGTGGAATCCAGTTTGACGCGCGTATCGTCCTATTTGGGACTCGTCAGCTGGATATATCTGCATCTCACAGTTGATGTTTACTCTGGGACTCCAACCCAGTGCCGTTCGCTTTCATCCTATAGGACGAAACGCGCATCAAACTGGATTCCACTACAAGTCACTGACTATCTTTGCTTATAATGCTTGTGACTTAAGGCTATATCGAAGCAATTCGCACAGGATGCACATATGCCAACAACAGAATGACCAATTGCAGTCCTAAATAACAATGGGAAGATACAAGTAAAACAACACCAAGTGAATTTAATTTATTTATAGGTTCAATGATGAATTCTATTTACGGAGAAATCATTTTCAAAACTGTACAATTGATCTTGGTAGTTCAATACACTTGTTAATATCTTTGTGACTTAGATGACGCTTATTTTTATTTTCTTATGTACTGAGATTTGTTGCCTTTTGATTATTTCAGTTCTGTTAATAATTGAGATCATGAGTCAATTGAAATTAGACCACCATGGAAAACTTGGAAGCACTGGACGGACGTTTCGTCCTATTGTGTGATTCCTCAACAGTGTGTATCCACGATACTGCCTCGCAAGATTCGAACCCAGGATCGTTCTGTTTTTTTCATCGATATATTTATAGAACATATTATTATCTGATAGTAGGATTGTTATTTTGTCAATGTAGATTTTCTGGTCCATCACAACTACTTCTACATCTTAGTCACGGGGTGTTATTAGTAAGACGTAGCTGCTCTTCAGTAGTTTCAGCTGTATTCTATAATTTATTAAAAGTTTTTAGCTATTCATTTTGTCAGAAGGGGTTTGTGGAGATTTTAGAAATTTCACAGATTGAAATCATGAGCCATTTGAAGCTAGACCACCATGGAAAACTTGCAAGCACTGGATGACCGTTCCGTACTAGTATGGGACTCCTCAGCAGTACGCGTCCACGATCCCGCACCCCGTAAGATTCGGACCCAGGACCTACCAGTCTCGCACCAGGCGCTTAACCAACTAGACCACTGAGCCGGCCGGCATCCAACAATGTTAATATCTAACTTCAACCAATCCACAAAGTTGCACCACCATACACCATTGTTTTCAGTGAGCTGATATCTCACAACACACCTGGTTGAACTCCACTGGTAACGGCTTCTCACTAGAACTCCAGGAGTATCTCTTGAAGTCAGTTACTAGTGAGCAGATGATTATTATCAGAAGGGGTTTGTGGAGATTTTAGAAATTTCACAGATTGAAATCACGAGTCAATTGAAGCTAGACCACCATGGAAAACCTGGAAGCATTTTGTGTTCATATACTGATGGAAGCTATCAAGAAGTGTAGATTTAAATCTTTGAAACTTTTGACCGAAGGATTGAATTCAAACCATTTATCTGATTGTAAATAATAATGTTTAACAAACAGGAAAAAAATGCACATCAAATAAAATACAAACCTATATCAGCTGAACGTTTAACAATTGTAGCCTGTGGTTCTTCATCATCCGTACTAGTTCCATCAATGTGAACTTGTATGACATTAGGATTTTGTAATTCTCTAGCACGTTGACGTCGTATTCTATTTGAATAGATAGAAAAAATGTACGTAAATGTAAATTGAATGAAAATATAAAGAATAATTATTTAAGTTGAATTCTTACTTCTCAATCTTCTCTCTCCCCTATTGGTTACTTTAACTGTTCTTCTATTTCTCAAAATTAATTACCAGTTACATTTACAGATCAGCTATACAATATCATTACCTTTTGTCCCTAAAATAAAATCTTTGATAAAGGGAAAGATTTTTCTGGTGTTGACTATATTAGTGCATGAAGAATGGTAAGAATGTTGTCATACATTGTCATTATTATTGTTTAACGTTGGTTTATAGAGGCCCCAAAATATACATGCGACACACAAAGTAGTTATTAGTCAAATTTTATGCGAGAAGAGACATTCCCTGGGTGCCCAAACCGAAACAGGTGGTATACTCAGGGAGCCAGTCCTCGTGCGTTTGATTTAAAGGTCTAATCCACAAGGCAGTGGAGCAAAGTCAGGAGATGAGGTCTTATGACAGCCTTTATGATCCTGGGGCCTATGTACACCACTGATTTAGAGTCAGGGTTTCCTAACTCCTCTAGGTGGATTTGACGTACCCACCAACCAGCTTTAAGCATCAAATATTCTATTATTGTCCTTTCGATTTTACAAACAACAAATCCGCTACGAGAAAGCAGTGAGTAGAACTTCCCTGGCAGTTGCTATATACATGTGGCCGTATCAAGGCATTTGGATTAAAATGGGTTCACATCATTTATGTAACTATAAAACGAACTCTACTCTAATAACCATAGATGACATCATATTTATTTATAATAGGGATAAAATACTGGATTAAAAAAAAATACAACTTATCACACATACTTTTAACGCTTATTAAAAATTCTTACCGTCGGGATTCTCGTTCAGCACATCTTTTACGTCTGGCTTCAAAAATTTTTACTTCTTCAGGTGTTCTAGATGTACATGTAGATGATATAGTTGCTAAATGAGAAATGACACGAAGCATATATTGGGAATAAAATAAAAGATAATTATTTATTCTTGAATTTATTGAACAGGGAAACAAATATTTAAGAAATAAAGACAAGTATTTATGAGTTGAAGATGATTTAAGATAGAAATATTTCATTGATTTAGAAAATCTAAAAAAACTGTGAAAATGGATTAGACGAAACGAATACATGTATAGGGGTTGTGGAGCATATCCCGTTCGTGGGATGCTGAGGAGTCCCACAATAGGACGAAACGGCAGTCCAGTGCTTCCAGGTTTCCAAAAGTGGTCTAACATCAATCGGTTCATGATCTCAATCAGAAACGAATACATTTGATATGCTGGTTTGTTAGGATTGATTAAATCATTTAAACTATTATTCATTGTTAACAAATTTTCTGACAACTTTAAACTTACGATTCTACGTGCCCAAATCCCACATACAAAGATGACTTGCATTTTTACAGACACTAAAGATATTTTACTTAGTCGATCTATGGGTCATGTAAATGTATTTAAGTATAATAATTGTTATTCTAATAATCTATTTTTAGTGTTGCACATATAAATGTATTATTGACTATTTGATTTTCAGTCGTCATCTGGGTGGATTGAATCCACAAGTGATAGCTTCTCATTGACACGAACAATTTTTTGCCGAAGTTAGTTACTACTATTGGGAACATAATTATATTCCGCAAAGTTATTGTGAAAATGGAGATCAACTATATCGGAAGTAACATAGGTATTATAAAAGATATTGAATAATGATAATTGTGGAATGTTGGAGATTGAATGGCTTTAGAAAAGTGAACTACGAGATACATACGTCACGAGACCTGACAACCATGGGTTTGATCTCCATTGGGATCGTAGTTGCACACATTGATGAGAAACCATAAACCGGGACAAAACAGTTATTCACAACGGTACCTTCGATTAAAATTCATGATTTAAGATACCTTCAAGTTGTTTCCTATAAACTAAATGATATAATTAATATTCAGTAAGCTTCTCATTTTAAATAATGTTGTATCTATGATTTCAATCCGATCATGGATTCACAGAATAACTTGTTATAATAGTTTAGATTAATAAAGATATATTCTGATTAACAGACGTCTTTAAAGAATCCAAAAAGGTCGTAAAGATTAGCTACACAATGCTCCTGTTTTTAATGAACTCTTTAAATTAATTTTCTCTTTGATATAGACCAGAAAAAGATGAGTTACTTATATTGACAGGCTAACAGTTTAATCTAAGTTGTGAAAGCAAGTCTTGGAGATCCAACCAGTTAATTGATACTAATGAAAACGTATCGAAAAACTGACTTGGATAGCTTGTTTATATTATTACGAATGTAATCTTAGGGGCTTTCAAACTACGCATTATTACCTAGTGTTGAGACTGGTTGAAAAAAGCAGAGAAGCGGTCGGTTTATGACATGGGATAAGGCGAGGTGTGTATTTTTAGAGTCGACCTTTTCTAACCCCACCCCTCCTTGTGGGAAGGCAGCATCGCTGTCATGATGGTTGTCTGAAGGAAACACTTTAATGATGTCACACCTCTATACAGTCAGCAGTACTACTTCACCTTCGGAACTTAGATTTGTTGCTTTGTCTTACCGCTCTTCAACCGACCTGTCTGACATAGTAGGACCTTGAGGAACGGTTGTTCCAGGCAGTATAGCTCAGTTGCTTCATCACGATAGGCAAGCCCGACCACCACGTCAAGATAGCAACAACGGTCGGGTATGACATGGCGCCTTAGTATGAAAAATACCTGTTTAGGACTAGTTCAGAGAAGCCAGTGGCGATCCTGCCATAATTTTCTGTCACACTCTTTATAAATTGAAATGAACTTGCATAATCTTTTCCAACTGTACTTTCAACTGAACTATAACTCATTTTAAATATCATTCATGTTTGTTTATTTATTCATTGTATGGTCTTTTTCGATTGCATTTCTTCACAATATTATAACTCTGTTGGTGTGACATAATTTTCAATGTTTTATTGCGCTAAGATTTATGTGTCATCAGTGAATAAGTCAAGAAAATAAACAATAAACTATATAGATTGAAATCATGAGTCAATTGAATCTAGACCACCATGGAAAACCTGGAAGCACTGGACGGCCGTTTCGTCCTAGTATGGGACTCATGATTTCAATCTGTGAAATTTCTAAAATATCCACAAACCCCTTCTGATAATAATCATCTGCTCACTAGTAACTGACTTAAAGAGATACTCCTGGAGTTCTAGTGAGAAGCCGTTACTAGTGGAGTTCAACCAGGTGTGTTGTGAGATATCAGCTCACTGAAGACAATGGTGTATGGTGGTGCAACTTTGTGGATTGGTTGAAGTTAGACATTAACACTGTTGTATGCCGGCCGGCTCAGTGGTCTAGTTGGTTAAGCGCCTGGTGCGAGACTGGTAGGTCCTGGGTCCGAATCTCGCGGGGTGCGGGATCGTGGATGCGCACTGCTGAGGAGTCCTATACCAGGGTGGAACGACCTTTCAGTGCTTCCAGGTTTTCTATAATGGTCTAGCTTCAAATGGCTCATGATTTCAATCTGTGAAATTTCTAAAATCTCCACAAACCCATTCTGATAATAAACTATATAGTCACCTTTAAATTTTTAATTAAGATATATAGATTATAAGGTACATAATTATACAATAATGTAGTCATATTACAAAGGTCAATGTAACTTACGCTGAGATACTGTATCCGCCATATCTTTCATATCCATACGTCGACGTTCAACTAATTTGTCATAACGTTCACGAAATATTATAATAGAACGTTTCTCTAGATATTCTATTTTTGACATCTGTTGAAATAATGTTATAAGATGTTTACAAAAAAATTTGTATAAATGAGGATATTTTTAAGTGTAAATATATACACATTAATGATTCACTTGGAATGGTAGCTCTCGTAGTTCTAATAAGAAGCTATGACCTGTGAGGTTCAACCAAATCATAAGAAGTAGTTACTCACAAATACCATTGGAAGATAGTTGTGCAATATCGCGAATTGATTTCCCAACTCACTGGTCTAAAGACTAGGCGCTACTCTACAGATCTGAACTTGGACTGAAGCCTCGATAAAGTAGTGGATGCGTAACTACTTGTAACGACCAAACTGCCAGTATTCAGTTTCAACGCAGAACTGACGAACCAAAATTTATTCGAATAGGCCAGATTACGTTCGTCTGTATAGCGTACGAAGCGTACAGGTATTAGACCAAGAAATACATCCTCCATTAGTGACTCTGTATAGCCACAATGACTTTCTTCTAAATGCTCACTCGAAGTGTTCTGAACTTTAATGGGTTTATGCAACAGCAGGTGATGCCGATCCCGGCAACTTTCGATAGTACACACAACACGATTTTTACAATCCACTGATCTGTGACCCCTTCTAAGACAGCAAAAACACAGGCTCTTTTCTCTAGCTTTCATCCACCTATCATTGACTGATAATGTTGAGAATTGGGGACGTTTATCAATCATGTGATTTTCTCCGCATATAACACAAAGTGACCTGCTAACAATTTTACCGGACGACAACCCTTGTGTGGGACAGGCTACCTTGCTCACAACTCGTTTACTAGTTGTTGCGATCTGCCAAACCTACTGAGTAATATTTCTGCTCTAGATGATACAAATCCAGTTAACTCTGCAAATATAGGCTCTCTCCCATTTGCTGTTACCTTTCCGTCTGTTTCAACCCATTTCATCTGCAATGCCGTGGGCAACTTCCTTACTATGCTTTCTATAGTTCCTAGGGAATTGAGATCCGACGAGTAATCCATTTTCTCTAAAGCTATAGAACAGTTTTCCATTTTTATTGCTAACCTAGACAGACTTTCTCCGTCGTTATGCTCTGTATTGGAACCTTCAGTAAAATCATTTAGCAAAGCCCGACTTAATGCCTTCTACCAAACAATCGTTTCAGTATATCACATGCTTTATGATAAGCCAATGAAGTTGTAAGCATTATGCATTCTTCTATGGCCTCTCGAGCCTTTCCTTTACAATAATGTAACAAGAACAAGAGCCGTTGACCATCATCTTCGACCTTGGATACCACATATAACTCAGTTTTACTTTTGGGAGCCCAAGACCCACACTTAGAGATGTCAAGGTCACTCCCCTCTTCTTCGTTCGTGGATAGTCTGACAGATTTGGCTTTTCTGGGGACTTGATTCTAAGGTCATGAGAACGGCTTACGAAACTATGAACATAATCTTGTCCTCTGTCATCACGATTAGAGGCAGAGGATACTTTACTACATATGTCCTCTTTTAGCCTTAACGACCCTAACTCTCTCTCTGAAGGCACAACAGCTGCTTCCTCTGCCTGTCTTTCAAGGGAATAGAGATTTGAAAAAGCTGCGGAGGGATTTTCATCGTTCTCTCTCCGTTACACTACTACTACTACTATTACCACGCTACGACGAAAAAACTGTTCAGTGCTTCCCGATATTCAACGGTTGTCTAAATAAGGTCAATTCATGATGCAAATTATAAAAAAATATTCTACAGAATCGTTATAAATAAGCTAACTAAACGATTATACTGTGATAGTCCCGTGAGTTTGAAACAACATAGAACTTGATACAAACGTAAGACGAGTGAATTTTTTTACACTATACATTCGCATAATGAAAAAAATGAAGAAACGAAAATCTATTGAACTGGAAATCTTAACATGTGAGAATAAAAGTCAGAAGTGGAGAGTATGAAAGATTAAGAATGAATATAACTGAGCCACTTCAAACAATTCCAGATTACGTCAACCAACTACATACCAGTTATCATACGCAACAAACCAGAAAGGTGCAAAGTTCAGTTCAATAGTTAATGCCTTTATGGAATGGTAAATTTAATGCCATAATTTAAACGCCCTTAATTTTTTTCCAACCTAACATTTAGCTAGTCAGAATGAGCATGAAACATAAAATGATTAGCTCACATTAGATGGAGGTTCATAGTCTTATCAAGTGATTTACGATTGCTAAAATGTTCCGAGTTTAAAAACTCAGAACTACCTACTCGATTGTTTGATTGTACAAGTTAGCTTAATTAAATGGATCAATGTAAAGATCTGATAACGTTCAGATTTTACATGACTGTAATATAGTTTTTAAAAAACGTTATTCAATTGAAGTAGTCAGCTTATTTGCTTCAGTAAGATTTTAATCTGCATTTCAGAAAGCGTATTTAATAACTGAATACTAAGATGTTCATTTGGATGCACCTGGATTACGCAGTTGATGCTTACTCCGGGACTCGAACCCAGTACCGTTCAATGCAAAAACCAGAGTTATCCACTTAGCTACTGAGTTCGGATGCCAACCAAGATTGGTCAAATTTCAATCAAAATATAAACAACGGGATAATCCAATTCATTTCCAACTGGATTAGCAAATAGGCAGTAAGTATATCATATAATTCTGAGGGTTGCCATCAAATGGAACGCCAATATTTGAAAGGAAAGAGACATGTACACTCAAACTCAACACCTAATCACTATCGCTAATAAACATTAATAATGCTTTACAATACAAAATAACTTGATCTATACATCATTCTAATACTATTTGACATGATTCAGTATGGATGAGAAAATAACAATACTAACCTACCTTTTCATTAAAACAAGATATTAAATCATCAATATAATCTTTCATTTCTTGATAGAACATAAATTGTTTTGCTAAGTTAGGAAGTTTTTCACGAGCATCTGCAATTATTATCTTGCCACGTTCTAAATCACGTTTCGCCTCTTCTAATGATGTTTTATGCTTCGTTAGTGATTCATTCAACTTATTGTATCTAATAATAATAATAATAAACAATTAAATAGTAGGATACATTATTAGTAAAAAATACCAACCCCTTTAATGATCCTATGATAACAATAAGTAATTAAATAAGACGATGAACGACAATAAACTTCTTTAGTTAATCAATTGGTATTAATTTTTCTAGGCCCCCAAATGCCCTGGTATGGCCGAGGGTGGGGTGGGCACGCCCTCCCTCTCGAAATGCTATCACACGACCACGCGTACACAGCCTCTGATAGGGAAGTCCTACTCACTGACTTCTCGTGGCATTACTGTTGTTTACGAAATCGAGAGGTAGGAAAGCGAATGTCCGGTGCTTTCACCGGGTTGGTGGATATGAATGATCCACCTAGGAGAGTTAGAAAACCCTGATTCCAAACCAATGGTGCACATGAGCTCCAGGATCTTAAGGAAACAAAAGATGTATGAACCTACTATTAGTCACCACCTACCATGGGACTGTATTTACTAACGTTGCTCCACTGCCTTATGGACCAGACCTTTAGGTCAAAGGCTCGGGGAGTGGCCCTTTAGGGAAACCACCTGCTTCGGTTTGAACACTGAGGCAGTATCGCAGCCCTTACACAAATCGATCATAACAGCTACTGGCCTCATTGTTGTTTTGTGGCCTATATGTATTTGGTACTAATATATACTAATGTTTACGTGTACAAATTAATAAAAAATGTTTAATTTACACGATTTACAACCGATAAATGATTTTATTAAAATGTATCAACACAATCTTTTAAAACAAGAATGTCTACTTCGGTATTAAGGACTTTCAATGTAACTGTACACCTAATCAATGGAAATATAAATTAATGTAACTTATTTATCGTTAAGTAAAGTTTTATGAACTTGACCTTGAGCAATCCACTTTGTATGAGAGATGATTCAGTCAGTCAGTCAGTCAGTCAGTAACAACGTAGAACTTCGTACGTACGTACAACAGTTCGAGTTGCCATACCATATTAGCACAGAGATATAGTTGTCGATTCAAATCCCATAGTGGTAGAGGTGGTAAGAGTATAAGCAGTAATCGGAAAGATTAGGGTTTGAAGATGTTATTTAAAGAGTATAATCCAGTGAAATAAATTTTGAAAGAGAAAAAAAGGGACAAGGAGGATTCAGGAGATTAGGATTTGGGAGAACACAAAGAGTGGATGCACCTGCGCCATTGCAAAAGATTTTGAGCCACGTCATTCAGGGTCTCTGTCAGCGAAACAATCTCAGAGAAAGATGGACATATTATTCATTCTCAATCCAGGAGATTGAATCGATGGGTAGAACACTTTAGGGATCAGTTCAACTGGCCTTCAGCCACACTACGGTTTCCCACGATCCCTAGTCAACCTAAATAGCAAGTTAATGTAGGTCCTCCGACTCCTTACGAAGTTGAAAAAAACTATAGGAAATCTGAAGCGAGGGAGAGCAGCAGGCCCTGACAGGTTTACTCCTGAGATTTTTAAGGATGGTGGTTCAGTATTAGCAGTGAGATTAACTGAGGTCTTAGGTAGAATTTGGGAACTGGACGTAATCCCATCTGACTGGTCTCAATCACTGATTGGGCCAGTTTTTAAGAAAGGACAAAAGTTCTCTTGTGACAATCACAAAGGAATCAGTTTGACTAATATAGTGTCTAAAATATTAGCTTCAATAATACTTCAACGCCTTACCAAGGCTTGTGAAGAACAGATTAGAGAAAATCAGGCCGAGAGATGATTAAAATGAAGGCAGATTTAAGAAGATTTTAATGTGTAGTTCGATGATTAACAGTTGTATGAGTTAATCCCTATGCTATCATTTCATGGGATTCAGTAATTTATTTACCAAGAACAAGTTTATTTATCCAACTACAGGTCATTACTTATGTTATGTTTTAAAGGATTGTAAAACTACTTAACTTCCTGAACCGAAGAATTTGAAAGGAAATATAAATATAAAAATCCTAAATATTAAAGTTTTCTATGGCGAAGGTGAGATGTCCGTTTATCAATAAAAGGAAGAGGATACTGCGCAGAAGTTTGTTCTGTTTCACTTTACGGCAGCGAAACGTGGCCTTTAAGAGTTGAAGATATTCGTAAGCTACTAGTATTTGACCACAGATGCCTTAGAAATATCGCTGGGATCTGCTGGGATCACCGGACAGGTAATAGTGAGAATAGACACAGGATATTGGGGAATGATGGTAAATCAGTTGATGAGTTTGTGAATCTTCATAGATTGGGATGGTTGGGCCACGTGTTGCGTGTACATGAACACCGATTACCATGACGCGCAATGCTAACCGGTGTTGGAAATGGTTGGAAGAAAGTTAGGGGTGGCCAAACCAAAATGTGGCATCAGTGTTTGAAGTTACTAACTTCTGGTCTGAGCCATGTTGGTAGATGCAAACTACTTGGTTGGGGTCCGCGTGACAATCGTAACTAATGGTTGGACACTCTTGGTGGTATGGCTCAGAATCTATTACAATGGTGAAGGTGTATACACTCTTTGTCTTCCTTTAAACTATAAGATTAAAATCGCTTCATATCTTTCTTTCTACGAACTAATTTTTTCTTCCTGTACTATATCCTTATATGGAACCTTTCATTTATATATTACCACCATTGAATTAACTACTTCTTTGAATCCGTAGTTCATATTGTTGTGCTAATGAGGTATGGTAATTTGGACCGATGTACATATTTGCCTTGTCCTACATTGTAGCTGACTAACTGAGTGAGGTGTTTAAGAAAACGTAAAGCGAACTTTTGTCTTAACTATACCAATGAAAGGCAAAGTTATGATGTGATTCGCCTGTACTTATATATTTTCTACCATTGACCCTATAAAAGTCAGTCAGTCAGCTACAATGTAGCACCAACCACATATATGCATCGATCGAAGTTGTCATACTTCATTACCACAACAAGATGAACATCGAATTCATAGAAGTATTTAATTCAATGGTGGTAATATACAAAAGAAAGTTTGCATATAAGGATATAGTACAAGAAGAAAGAATTAGTTGATGGAAAGAAAGAACACTGGAGATATTAATGCTTTCTTTCAAAGATAAATTAACTTGAAAGAAAAGTGGTTACTTTAAAACATATATATATCTTTGGTCTAAGACAGAATTTTGTAGGAATTTCCATTGAAAGAATTACATCATCATATTATTTATTGTCATTTATTAAGCTTACTTCTCTTGTAAATTATCTTTTAATTTTGGCAATGTTATATCTGTAACATTCAATCCACCAAGTATAGTACTATCAGCAGGTGTTGTAGTATTATTAGAATCTTCAGTACCAAGAATTGGTTGAATAGCTTCTAAAACAGCAGGATTCTAAAGAAGAAAAAGAGAAAAGAGAATGACACAACCAAGAACTCATCTTATTAATTTTATCAAGAAGTAATAGGCAGAAACATATTATACTAAGAAATCAATAATATTTAAGATAGTATCTATTTACTAAGCGGTCAGAGATCATTTGTACATAGTTAAGAGTGAAATAAAACATGATAATAGTTAGTTACGAAAACGATTTAAATTGGTACATGTAGTGAGGCTAATGAATAAGAAGAAACTTGAACGATCAGAAAAGTGACCATAAAAAAAGTGATTATCTTCTCATAAAACAATAGAATGCACGGGATGGTTGGTGAGTAATAGTAGGAGGTACGTTGCCTCTTATTTTGGACTCATCAGCTGAGTGTACCTGGATTCACATGGGATGCATATATGCTAAAGGAGATTGAACAGTCCGAAACATCAATGGGAAGATTCAAACAACTAATACACATTTATTTATTTATTTGAACACATAAATATTGGTACAAAGGGGCACCTAATACATATGCGCCACACAAGTCACTTTGATTTGTGTGTGGACTGTGATACTGCCCGGGTGCCCAGAACGAAGCAGGTGGTTTTCTTAAGGGGGCTACACACCACTTTATGAACTTCTTCGAAGTAAATTAAACATTCTTGAGATTTGTAATGAGAGAATTGACTAAGTACTCATCCACGTGGCTACATTGTTTTCTTTATCCTAACCTTGATTCATAATTGAAACCCTAATTCCCTACTCTTGGTACTGTATGAGTAAATTTGATTATTTGTAATTACGTTTATTGGCCAAACATAGACACTTAAGGTAAACAATATGTATAGAATTGTACGAATGGAAATCACAAATAACTTATGATTACCATTAGCAGTTTTACATAATTAATGGTTTACAAGTAGGAAATTCTATGAAGTATAGAACACATGAAGACACAGTTGAAATGATAAAGACTTGCTCGTTATCGGCATAGAAAACACAAAAGAAATTAACAAGAGAGAGAACAGAAGAATATAGATGATGATACCAACAATAGCAGTATCAAAGAACCAAGCCAATCTCATTATAAATTAAATGCTGGCTAACTAAGAAAATAGCGGAACATAGTCGCCATACGCCATTACTCAAATATATCTAAAGCTCACATAACCAGGGTATTTGGAATGCAAACTTTCTTTAGTATAAAAAAATCATATTGAATAGTACTTAACTGTCTACAAAAATTATATTAACACGAACACAAAACCCAAGTCAGGTTGATTCAAGTACTTTGAATTGAATTGTCACTAAGACTGTACAGTGAGAAAGCATCATATCTACAGTAGAATTACATTGAAATTTCGAAATTGTAAAAAGATTACTGTTTTGTTCTCCACTTTATCCAGCTATTTTCATAATAAATAGTCATCAATCAGAATTTGTTTTCGTCTATCAAATTTGCCTACTCATGAGTAACAAAAAAGGGTTTAAAAAAAGTAACAAAACGTGATACTTTCAGTACACAATTTCGGACAGGGAGTTAAAAATTTGTGTAAAAGCAACGATAGAACAAAGGGGAATAAGGGAAAGTTTTCCACTTATTTATTTGTTTCAGATATGCAAAATAACTATGATGAAAAATAGACGGAAACGAACTTGATTAATAATAGCCTTTTGAAGTTGTTGTCTTTCCCATTCAATCTCTTGATCACTGTCTCGATCACTACCATGTTCAGCTGCCATGAAATCTTCTCGAATGCATTTCAATTCTTCTTCACGACGATTCAAACGAGCACCTATAACTGCGCGTTTACTACAAGTTTCACGGTCTTTACTGACAACAAAAACTGGTCTCATTTCACTGGCAGAGTTTGAAAATGAGACAGTTGTCATATCATTGGCATCTTCATCATCATTCAACTCATCATCGTCATCATCTTCTCTAAATAAGAAAGAAAGTAATAAATGCGCTGAGAAAAACTAAAACTGTGGCTAAAATTATTTTCCTAAATAACCCTCTAATAGTTAAAAGACATTTGTAAAAGAACAAAAGGACTTGAAATACAAACCAATTTTATCACCAACTATAAATTATTATGTCCTCCTAATATTGTAGTGAACAGAACACCAGTGGGGACAATCGAATGTATTTGACACGAAATTACAGAGCATTTCAATAAAATCTGAGAACCATATAGTAAATGGTTAATTTGCAAAATATCAATCCATCATCTCAAACTTGACCGTTTCTGTCGCAAACATCAATCCATTGTCTCAGATTTCATTGTTCATGCGTTTTCATACTAATTGCGTTCCGTTTCCGTTCTTTCCTTATCGATCTTCTGCTGAAATACATTCTATGCCTGACCACTGTTATATACTACTTATGTGGATATAAGTAAACCACAGCACAATATTATCCAAAATCAGAAATTATGAGATGAATTGTAGTAAACCAAGTGTAAGAGAGATGTTTGGTTTGTTCATAAACGAGCATACATACAGTACAAATATTTTTGAGATAAACTAAAATAAACTGACTACACAAGACATGCAATAAAAGTTACAAATTAATATTTCTTAATTATTCAACTCCAGTAATAACGAGAATTTCAAATAGAATATATAGACGGTTTGTAAGATCTTTTAAAATCACATCTATCCATTCGATGTCATAATTAAAGGAATTAAAAGATAACCCTTCAGTTATCCAATAATTTAATTGCTAAAGTGTCTGAATGTTTTTCAGCCAAAAGAATTTCCTTAAAAACTGGGATATTTCATAAAATATAACTTAGTAGTTTAGGTATTTAACTTTTTATTATTGAGCCAATTGTTTACAACCCCTTGACGAAGTCCTTTTTTGATAGTCAGCTGACAATGATAATCTTTATTTTTTGCCCTCCAATGCCCTGGTACGGTCGAGAGTGGGGAGAGTCCACTCTCCCTCTCGAAATACTCTCACATGTCCACGTGTATATAGCCTCTGCCAGGGAAATCCTACTCACTGACTTCTCGTGGCATTACTGTTGTTTACGAAATTCAGAGGACAAAAACCGAATATCTGGCGCTTTAACCGGGTTAGCGGACATGGAGAGTCCACCTAGAGTTGGAAAACCCTGATTCCAAACCAATGGTGCACATGGGCTACAGTATCCTGAAGGAACAAATGGCGTATGAACTAATCGTTGGTCACCGGTTACTATGGGACTGCATCTCCTTACGATGCTCCACTGCCTTGTGGATTAGACTTGTAGGTCGAAAGCTCCGGGTGTGGCCTCCTAAGAAAACTGCTTGCTTCGGTTTGGGCACCCGGGCAGTATCACAGCCCTCACATATATCAAATAAGATCTGTGTGGCGCATATTTAACTGGCGCCCTCTTGTGCTAGTATTAATGTGTTCAAATAAATATATAAATAAATAAATAAACCTTCAAATAAAAACTGTGGCGTGTAGTTTGTACAAATTACTCTCAATTTTCTAGTAATCAAAACACAAATAATTTACCTCACTAAACGTTTACCATCATTTTTACTAGATGAATAATAGGTAGGTGAATGATCAGATGATTCAATGAGACTTTTAGCTTTCTCACGTTGTTTACGAGCCAAATGTATTGTTGCCGCATCAGGGATTACACCCTCTGTGTGGAAATTAAATAATGCATGAGACGTACGCTTTATCATTGAAGTCACATTGCTGGGTTCGGATTTCACAGATGGAACTACTTCAGAAGTTGTTTCATCTTCGGCTAAATTCAATAATTCTTTTCTTAAATTCTGAGATAAATTAATTGGATTTGACCCAGGCCTTTATACAAAATCCTACCTCAAGATTTTCTTCGGGATCAGGAGAGCTTTCCTCATATGAAACTAAATTCTTATGAAAGTCACCGACTATCTTTAAGCCGTCATTTCCATGGTTTTTCTTCTTTTTACTTTCTTTCGTTTGTTTAGTAATCTTACGACTCATTGAAGATTTCTTAACTTTAAATGTGTCACCATCATCTACAATATGATGACCATAAAATCAAGAAATCGTTTTCTTTACCTGGGTCAAGATCATCCTCGAAACTTAAAACGCTCTTGTTCTTCTTGATTGACGATACATCAGGTTTAATTTGAGACGTTATTTCTTTAACGGCTTCATCATATAAGCTTTCAGACTCCTGACTTTGCTCATCGTCTGAATCACCAGCTTTACTCCTGTAATTTCTTCGAATTTTTTTCATAAACAGGCTGCACATAGTGAAGCTGAAAACCGAAAACAAATAATACGTTTACTATTTCTGGGTTACTAAAAGTGGTATATATGAAACATGCAGATTCTGGTGTTTAGAATCGATTAATATAAAGTACCGCCTAGTCAATGTGCAAAAAATAGAAACACATAAATAAAAATAATACTACCCTCATTATTTATAACTGAAGCGAGGATATTTAACAAAGGAGAAAAGTATCTATGTAGTATTTCCAAAGTATTTTGTAGATCCGTGATATCATTTAAGATAAAATTGTTCATTTTTTAGTGAACACTAAGAAAATCAAGAAACCAATTTAAATTTATTAGTTGTATAAACCGCCCCCAAATGCCCTGGTAAGGCCGAGAGTAGGGAGAATCCGCTCTCCCTCTCGAAATACTCTCACATGTCCACGTGTATATAGCCTCTGCCAGGGAAATCCTACTCACTGACTTCTCGTGGCATTACTGTTGTTTACGAAATTCAGAGGACAAAAACCGAATATCTGGCGCTTTAACCGGGTTAGCGGACATGGAGAGTCCACCTAGAGTTGGAAAACCCTGATTCCAAACCAATGGTGCACATGGGCTACAGTATCCTGAAGGAACAAATGGCGTATGAACTAATCGTTGGTCACCGGTTACTATGGGACTGCATCTCCTTACGATGCTCCACTGCCTTGTGGATTAGACTTGTAGGTCGAAAGCTCCGGGTGTGGCCTCCTAAGAAAACTGCTTGCTTCGGTTTGGGCACCCGGGCAGTATCACAGCCCTCACATATATCAAATAAGATCTGTGTGGCGCATATGTATTTGGTGCCTCTTTGTACCAATATCTATGTGTTAAAATAATAAAATAACATAATGATAAGTTGTATACACTACATAGGTTCGACATCAAGTTAAAAGAGTAAAATTCGATTCGAGACACTTCGAGAGCTAGAGAAGCACGGTGGATAAAAGTGTTCAATATGGAACCTCAGCGAATATCTAACAATAAGTAAACAACAGTACAGAAAACTAATATACTGCAATAGACGAATTGTTAGATGCACTGCAAGGGTCTATATTGCATTTTCACTTGTAAAACTGACTAAACATTACGCAAACAAAAAATACAGTGAGGTCATCGACATTTTTTATTTTAGGCTATATCCGATAGTTTCAAGACACTCCTGAGTGATCTTCTAGTATCTATTTGCAAATATTTTTTATCTCAAATGGCATTTATGGAACGAAAGCCCGACGAGACCTTAGTGAAAAATCTACGAAGGATTTATTAGCCTCGAATCAACTTTTTAAAACTACAGATTCTTAATTCGTTGTTCTGAAATTTCCGATACTGTGTCGAAAAATTACTCATAAGTGAGTGACTCAATAATACGACGGTCTTGTTTCCAGTTTATCCTTTTCAAATAAGAAAACTGGTGATACACAAGCAGTAAAACACTTTCTTCAACCAGCCCGTAATGAAATAATTAGTTTGTATAAGGCAATCAAAACGATATACATATGTTTAGGTTAGTAACGTTGATTTTTTGATAACCTCAATCTAACGCACATTAATGTCAGTCAAAATGAAACAACACTGCACAGTGAAATCACTGGTATGTCGTTTTTATATGACCCAACCCTACGGAAATAGTGACCCGATAAAATTTAAATGGACTTAAAATGGGACGATAGAGTGTGAATATTAAAAATTAAACAAAATTTAACAAAATACAGCTACTAAAACGATTAAAATTGATAACTATGGAAACGATAAAACATTGTGACAATGACTCAAGACATTTCAAAGGCAACACTTAAGTTTTTGATACTTAAAGTCGTAGACTGATTTACACAAGCATCAATCCGTGTTTACAAAGCATTCTACCTTATTCCCAATTTTTACTCTTAATATTTAATCTTAACCATGACACATAATATCTTGGATCTTTGTGTAATAAATAAATTTTTTATATTATCTGCATTTTGAACAGGTAAAATTTAGATTTATCGCCTCAGAACTATTTTAAAAGATGCTGAAAGTTATCAGTAAGGTATGAATTCATGTGATACTCTTGTGACAACGGATTAGGAGATACTCTGACCATAGTTATGGAAGTCAGTAGTAATAATGAACATGTCATATATGATACGTCAGTATGATTCCTCAAACCAGTCTTAACTATCTAAAATCTAAAGAGTAGTTGAGGAAATTACTTCAGCCTCATAAAATAATCCAGTGTTTTGGCTACAAACACCAGTTACGTCAAAAATTCTCGAGTTGTTGGCATACTTACAAAACATGCAGGAAGGCTGCACATACTTAGTTCTGCTCTTTATCAACAGACCCATATCTTCAATTATCTGCGTGCACAATACCTGTTAGGCATATGTTAATACTATTATTGTTAGGGAGAACAAGAGAGAATAGATGAGTTCATAATGAGCGTAGAAGTTGGCAAAGAAACATCTAGTCTTTAACAAATCCATTAAAACAGAGGTGTTGCAACTCCACTTGACAAAATGATCAAGTGACAATCAAGTTTCTCGAAGGAACAAAGTTAAGTTTCGACAAAAAACAACGAAAAAATCCGCATAGTGACCCGCCCTGATGCCGCAAAGTGATTAACTATGAATGGTAGAAATTAACGAATGGATTAAGATCAAGATACATGCTATGAAATATTTGAATTAGAGCCGATATCAGTCGGCAAAGGAAAACCTAAACATAAATCAAATTCAAGCCCCAAACTTTAATTCTGACGTTTCCATTGTGACTGTGAGATTGAATTTGTGAAATGGACTACTTACGGAGCTGATTTTCGGTCCGTTCGTTGACATCTAATGGTGAACATGGATTAGCACGACTTGTTTAAAAGTGATGTTTCGGAGTGTAACCCACAGTTGTCCCGCAAAATTAGGAAGGACCGTGAAAGAATTAATGCAAAATGATTACACTCCTCTTTTCCTCCCACATTCCAAAAGTTATAACTAGTATTTTATGGAAATTAAACTTTTTCAGGTATTAGAAGTTTTCACTCTCAATTTCAATTACCCTGAACATATAATTAGCAGAATGCATTTTTTTAAAGTCTATAATTTAAGCAAAATGGGAGTAAATTCGAAACTTGTGTTATGTAACATAAACATACGACAGTGAACACCTACGTACGTGTAACGCTGACTATCAAATTCAGATGCGGTTCAGACTGCCAATATCCAAAAAAAAAATTTTCGCACGAGCATGGTTAAAAAGACTGTCTTCTTCGACTTCATTTCTCTTGTCATTTTTTTACGGTTCCAGTAATTTAGTAATGTTCATTGCCTTGTAATTAATTCACTCAACTTCACTAGTGACAATGATTCAAGAAGTTATTTGTACATTTGTGTATCTTATAGTGTGAGTGAGTGTACTTCTCTTTCAGGAAAGCAAATGTTTTGAAGTCAGTAAACATAACATATCCATTTTTAGCAATCGGTCATCAGAAAAAGCTATTTCAAGCCACTATCTAGCGGTAAATAAATCCCCACAATAAATGGTTCTTTAGGTCTTCGGCATTTGATTCTGACCCCGTTAGTTTTACTGGACACACCTGGCTGAAGACGCTTGATAACGCTACTGTACCCTATCACAAGTAAGCACATTGTGCTATGCATCCCTTGTGACTGATACACAGCTCACACCAAACACTTCTCAACATATCGATAGCTTTCCATATGTATATTCGAACCCATTCACTTCTGACAACTGATTTGAATGGTTTGGTATACCTCGATTGTAAAAGTAACACGTGTAAAGGCGTTTTCAAACTCCGAATACATGTTGCGTCTTTAGTTGTGAGCACGATGTGATCCGGTACACCGAACAATAAACTGTGAGTCTGTTACTTATTGGGACATTGTATATCACATTTAATTCTTACACTTATTGGTATTGTTTCTGTATTTTTGTATATTTTTTCGCCCATCCGTACTATTTACCTTCATTGTGATGCGTCAGACACCTACGTTATTGGTAGACGTGTAGATGTTGTAAAGTTAATATTGGTTATTTGGCATCTGTTTGTGAGAAAAGACTTGATCCGTAGCAATAGGAGGTTTATAATTCCAACTGACTGAAGGATGTTACGAGGTGCTTTATTAAAGGCTTTCTTAATATCAAAATATAGTATAAACACTAGTTTTTTTGGTTACGTAAGCGAGTAACCTTGTTAAAGCAGTCTATTAGACATGTACTGCAGGACATTGTTTTAATGAAGCTGTGTTGTGACGGGTCTATTACATTTTCCCTAAGTAGGTAATCAGATATTTAATTTGACGTCACTTTTTTCATTATGCGTGATATAACTGGCGTGATATTTATAGGTCTTTATTTTTCGACCACGTATTCCGGTCCTGATTTGTGTTTGGGAAGAACATACGTTACCTTCCAGGTTTTGGGATATGTACCTGTCCCTAAAGATAATGCGTCTCTATGTCTTGTCCTGACATTTTATAAAGGATTCATGGGATGTCATCGACTTAAGAGCATTGATGGCGGTATGTATACTCCTAATATCAAAGTTTATAATGATAAGTTTTGCTGATACACTTTATGTTAACATCGGGGTATGAATTTTCATTTTATTGTTTTTGTTGTTATTAGTTTTGCCCAACATTATATTTTCGGTGCAATATAGAATTCTCGACAAAATGTATTTCAACAAGTTTCCGTTTCTTATTTCTTGATCGATCCTGCCGATAAATATTGAATGATCGCCAGGTAGAGATTAGAAATTTAGGAATCGAGAGCAGAATAGCGTGAATTCATTTTGGATTATATTGTCAGCAACTACAATGTCTCTCATTGGACTCTTTTGTAATTTGTGCAGTGAAAGCTGGTGAACTTGTAGAATTATCATCTAGTTTGTCATTGGTACTGATGAAATAATAGACCTTATCCTGAAATTATGGATTTGTCATGATATGACTACCTAATTTATAAGATCGACAGCATGCAGTAGTGCTAGTGGTGATATGCTGAAACTCAGCACCATCATCACCTCGATGGTTATAGACTCCCTCAGGAAACTTGAGCCTCCTAGCACAAGATCCCTGAATGCAACGATGGTTCCCATAAACTCTGTAGGTGATTAGACCCACGTAAACAGGGTTAAAAAGGACCAGGCGTCACCGTCTAAGCTGAACATCCCAAGTGTTGTAAGGAAATCAGCTGGTGACTTGGCCGCACAGTCTACCCTCAAAAATGTCCGTCTGGTCATCACAGAGCCTAGGAATCGGAAACAAGGTGCTCAACTTGAACGCACCAGCAAACCTGGGAAAACAATAACGGTTCATGATGATTCTCTCATAGCCATGAACCTTAAAGACAATCCTAACCTTCCCCTTTGATTGCAGGACAAAATGACGGGATGCTGTGATAAGAGCTAAACAAGAGGCTTAGACTTCCGAGAACAGAGTCTTTGACGGTCACATGTCTCACTTGGAGAAAGGACTCTAAGCATCAAAAACACCCGAGGTTACTTCATGTAACACTCAAGAATGCTACTGACGTAGAGGATATCCTACTAGCTAGACACTTGCTGAAATCAGATGGGTATGTAAGAAAACTGCCTGACACACAGCATTCTGAGCACAATCTCATCCGGAACATCCCTAAGGAGTCTCGCGAGTTTTTCCGCGGGAGAAATATCATTGTGCATGGTGTACCGGAAAACACGAACCCTGGTCAAACAAACCCTGATATTAGGGAACGGAAATTCATCAAGCAATCATTGAAGCTCAAAAACATACTGACTCAACCAGTGACGAAACTGGCCAAGAAGGACGGAGATTCTAGACCCCAGCTGATGAAGATAACTTTCCCATCGTCCTATATGGCGGCTGCAACTCTGGAAGCATTTCGTGCCCACAGACGTCGGTTGCCAACTGGAATCCATATGCATCCGGATAGGTCACATGACGCGAGGATCAAGCAAAAAAGCAAGTTGAAGCTGATCATTCCAATTGCGCATTCCATTGATCATATGAAAAACGTGTAAAGGACAGGGGCTATCAACTCGAAAACCTTGTATAGATAGGCTACCTGTACATTCGCGTAAGACTCATATAGACAAACAGGAAGGAGAAGCTCACGAGTTTCAAATTGTAAGCATAAACTGCTCATAGATTAACGCCGCGAGTTTACCAAATAAAATGGATGAGCTACGTGAACTTATTAATGCTAATAATGCTCATCTGATAGGAATATCTGAAACTTGGATATGTCAGTTTACAGACCAGGACCTAGCAATACCTGGGATGTCTTTGTTTCACAACGACACAAAAAAAATGATTGGGGGTGGAGTAGCCCTATACATACGATCATGCGTGAAGATGAACCAAGTTCACAAACACGAGTTTATCAATCCTAATGAATCCGTATGGTGCTCAGTAAGATTGTCTACCACCTCGAGGTGCCTAGTTGGAGTCATCTACGGAAAGCCCACTGCTGACATGGAGTACGAAAATCTTAAGCTGGAAAAATTATCCCGCTCTAAGCGTCTCGGATTTACTCATATCCTGATTGCGGGGGACTTCAGTCTTCCTAAAGTCAATTCCGCGTAACATATATATATTTGTGGTGAAAACTCAACTGAAGCTCGGTTCTTCAACCTCAACTATGATCTGGCATTATTTGAAAATATGTGATCGGTAACCTGTTGGAGAAGCAGTCAGACACCGTTGCGCCTAGACTGGGTATTCACAAACGAAGGATTCCTAGTTGACAACCCACCAAGCCTAGCTCTCCTGAGGGAAAGCGATCACGCCGTCATAGCCTTCATTTTTTTCAACAAAACTGAGCTAAGATATCCCAACAAAAGCAGGCACTCGAATTTCAAACTGGTGAATGTCAGCCTTACAGGACTGTCTACAACGGGTGGGTTGGGATGTTCACCCTCAACTTGATGTGGATGCTCATTCGAATTTCTTACTGCACACGCTCTTATGTGTTATAAAGTAGCCTGTTCCTGAAAAGGTCCAAAAAAGCTACAAGGAACCTGAAGTAATCAAGAATCGCACTCTTCATTTGCTAAGCCGCAAAAGGCACTTTTGGGCAGAATACAAACGAACTGATAACAACGGTGCGCACAGGCAATACAAACATATAAGGAACATATGCACAAAGGCAATAAGAGAAGACAGGCTTCAGTAACAGATAAAGCTTATCGATAGATTTGTCTCCGATCCAAAACGTTTGTTCCGTTATGCAGCCTCTCTTCGTCAAGACAAAACTAGAGATTCCTTAATGCTCGGTCCTAAAGGCCCGACCAATAAGGACGGCGATGCCGCTAACCTTTTGGCTGGACAATACTCCCGGACATTTCAACCGACCCACATCAACTATACTGATGACAGCTTCTTCTGAAACTGCACAGGAATTTCCGTAGTGAACCTGAGAGCTGACTTGATGTTCCGGAAACTGCAGCACCCAAGAAAAGACACTCCTCCTGGCCCAGATATGGTTCATTCTGCTATATTGAGGGAAGCAGCTTATATCGTAGCAACACTGCTTAGCGTGATGTTTTCACACTCGCTAAGACGAGGCACACTACCAAAAATTTGGAAGCTGGCTCATATCACACAAATTTTCAATGGAGGTCGGCGTAGTGAACCATCAGCATTTCTCCCAATATCCTCAAAAAATATGGAATTCCTGATATGAGACGGTCTACACGATTACTTACTATCCGTAAACTTCTTTTCACCCCAACAACAAAGCTTCAGAAAATGTCACTCTTGTATGATCAACCTGCTGACCGCGGTGGACAGTTGGACAACCATCCTTGATCGCAGGGCGAAAGTTGACATCATGACTTCCCATAAGATTTGGTAGGACCAACCATATATGTCTTACCACTGGGCTCAAACAGTGAGATATCAAATGACATTTAATTGATAGACTCCCTCCATATCTAAAAAATCGACACTTTAAGTCAGGGTTAACTTTACCTTCTCTCGTGCTATGGAATACTCTAATGTGGTCCTCCAAGGTTCAGTACTAGGGCCTCTTTTTTTATTTATATAAACTATCTTTCACAACAGGTATTGTCTGACTTATTAATTTTTGCTGATGATGTGAAACTCTGAAGAGAGAAACGCAACCAAGAGGATATGCTGGCTTTTCAGGAGGCTCTGACGCCACTTCAAAGTTG